ACCAGTATCCAACGCCTCTCGTGTAACATAAATCTACGGATAATTGATACAACATTACAGTGCACACCCTTCAAACTTTTAGCTGTTATTTGACATACTCTTAAAATGTTACCTGGACATACATCAGGCAGAAATAATTTTGTATTAGATAATTATTTTTCAAACGAGTGTACAATAAAATTTGTCATTTGCTTGTCATATACACTCCAATATAAATGACAATGATATTTAAGCTTTGAATGTTTGTAACCTCATATCGTCTTTAAAAATGTAACTTTTATTACATTTCTCAAAACGCTCGGCTTGATATTTTGACGAAGCAGATAAATGGCACAGAGACAGAGTTTATATAATGGGTAATTCGTATGTTTATTGCATCAAGTTAACAATAATGATCCGACTTTATGACCACTATGTCTGTTTAGAAATCACCTTAAGTGACTGAGTATCCTTACCTTGATAAAATCCATCATATATATCATGGAAAATAGCACATTAAGGAGTTTCACTAAGACAAGGATGTCAGAGAAGTTCAAATTATCCCATAAATAGATTAAAGATGCAATAGTGTGTTGAGAGAGAACCTTTGAGGCGTATTTCCCGACGGTTATTCACTCCGTCGGTTCGCTCCATAAATATTACAACGACAAAAGATAGCACGCTTAGGAATTAAAAAATATCATGCACTTTGCATCGATTAGTCTTGTTGTCCTTAGCAAAGGATGTTTAATTATCGTCCAATCACATTGATTGAAATCGTCGACTATTTGTTAGTCTTCGTTTTTCCGTCCTGACATACGTATACAGTCCTCTATAACTCTTGCTTTCCTTTGAAATAGTAGTAACTTTTCATATTCAGACTACTTTTGCACTCATCCACCCTCAACTTCTCTTCGAGGTACTCTACAGAAAACAGGCTTCTTTACTTAGTAGATATTAATAATAACTCAGTGGCACCTACCATGTCGCCTTCCGTTCTCTGTCGCGCCTGGGTCCTCCCTCTTCTGTACAGGCCCAATGGCCCGTTTTCTATGGGAGCTGTATTCTCATGGCGCGCTGCGAGGAGTGAAGGATCCTGCCATCTAGTGTCTGCAGAAGCCAAGTTTGTAGCGCTGGTGCATGAGGTCGCTATAGTAGCCACCAGCCAGACCCATGCATGCCGAGATCAACACACGCACAACGTGCTTGTGACATTTTCTCACCTTTTCAGGCCTTGTACAGTCATGAAGACGTTTTTCTTCTACGCCGCTGTCCTTGTTGTATGTATGCGAGTGGGGTGGGCAGCCGAGGCCCTGCAGCAAAAACGCCAGTTATCAGCCGATGATGAGGCATCAGACAGATTACTGTTCGGAACGGGAAGTCTCGCTTTGGGAGGAGGCACTGGGGGTACTTACAGCGTCACTATTGGGAATGCCGGCTATATTGCCCTGGGTGCGGCATTGCTCGTCCCTCTCATTATTGGTCTAGCTCTCTTGTTCTACCTCCTTGGAGGACCAAGAGATGACTACTCAGCATCGGGCTACGGCAGCGGAACTTACGGCTCTAGCACTTATGCGCGTTCCGTTGATAAGTAGGTATCGTCAGTTATAGTCCTTATATAAGGGCCCTCTCGCTGCAAGTCAGGCCTGATCGTGCACTAGTCCCACTCCCTGATCCAAGCCTGTCCTACTCCCTATCAGTCACACTCCTTCAATGAAGCACCGCCACATTTAGTATGACAAACATTCAAATCCTCAGATTCACTAGATGGCAGTATAGAACAGGTCACCACCGAAGAATTATATTGTAAACAACACTACCGCCTCGTTTCAGGCCAGTATGTTCTCTCTTAAGTATTTGGCTCTCCTGCTGGGCGCCATGCTTCTTCTCTCTGTTTCTTCCCTGGCCGAGGACGTGTCAGCGCCGTCTGATGACGATGCGACAGATAAGGTCCTGGAAGAACAGAAGGATAAGGATGCCGATGAGAAGCTGGGCTGGACGTCTTCCACCACCGGCACCAACAGTGTGATAGTCTCAGGGGCAGGGATCGTGTGGCTCTTGCTATGGGGCGTCGTATTTACCATCATTGGCAGTGCAGTTGCCTGCTACTGGGTGGGATGTGAATACGCATCTACTGGCCGCAAATTTAGCGACCTAGTAGGCCTGTACGTACAAGATTCTAGATTCAATCTTAATTCAGTATAGTGTCTATCAGGCCCACTCAAACCAGCTCCTGTTGCTGGGGTATCGATTGTCGGATGCTATTTGTGCAGTGCGCATAGGTAGTATCAGAGCACCTACTCTTTTGCTGCTCAGCTTACACACAAATGCCTCTGACAATGGAATACTGGGTAGGTACATGCATCACAAAAAATTTCATGTGCCTCACCAAATTTGTAGTGACAGAGAGAGCATGCAGAGCACTCATAAGCATGTTCTTAGTTATCACTCACAGTACATGGTCCAAGCACTCAGTGTGAACCATCAAGAGCATGATGGGACTGAAATAGCCCAAGGTCTTTCAAAGATCTCACTTGTTACTTGGCGTGCTCGATGGCCCTATCCATAACCTTAAAGTCCTATCAACAGGCCCATCCTACTTTTACCAAACAACTTCCAATGAGCACTGCTCTCTCCTTTATTTTCATTATTCTCATCTTAACCATGAAACCTTACTTCCATGTCATGCCGTGCCCAGGGACAAGTTAATTTCGGCATTAATGACGGGCCTGTGTCAGTGCACACCCCGGGCCCCGCCCCACTCAGGCCTGACGCTTATACCAGAGTCACACCTCGGCTGCCCCGCGGATTTAATTGATACCGAGGTTCATCTGTTCATAGTTTTTCACTGACCAATACCATCGCTACAACTGGCTTTTGACCTTCTGACACAATCATGGCAGGTTATCCTATATCCTCTCTAACCCCTTTACCTCTCAATCTATGCTTAGACCTTTGATAGGCTAATTAGCGTCATCTTGCTCGTACCCTGGTCTTCCAGGTTATACTCAACCCTTCCGAATGAACCGCACGCTGGTAGTCCTCGCCCTGGTGGCTAGCCTTGCTACCTGCACCATGGGATTCTCTCCTGAGGCGCTTGGCGAGTACCCGGTGGGGGTAGACGGCGGCCCTGATGGCCCTGAGGGCAGGCTCTTCTTTGTTACCACCAATACAACCACTGTCACAATCGGTTACGCCTCCTTCATCCTCGGCATTACGAGCATCCTCGTGCTCGGAGCCTTGCTTGCACTAACCTACTTTTATGCAACCGGCGAAGATTTTGACAGCCGTTACTCCGGGTACTCCGGGTACTCTAGCAACAGAAGATCTGGCGGCAGTAACTGGAAAGCGTATGTAACATTAATTTTGTTAGGACTTTTAATAGAAGAGCGGTGTCTTCCTCATTCCGACCCACCCTTAACTCATTCCCGGCCCGGCAGTCCCTCTAACCACACCACCACCACCACCACCACCACCACCACCACCTCACCATTCCAGCGATTGTCCCAACAGAAATGCCTTGCCCTCACCCCGTCCACCACCAACCACCACCATCACCACCTTCCCAATCCCAACGGTGGCCCGGCAGGACACAGGCGCTGCGGTTCATTCTTATGCATGGTCAAAGTTCTCTGGGGGACCTCGTGACCTGGCCCTTTACAGGGTCACGTGGGATCAAGACCTCTCACTGATTGACCACTGCGCTTACCCACTTTCATCTTCTTCTTAATCTCACTTTTGGACACAATAGGTCGCCATTCACGAGACCAGCTCAAACAGCCCGAAATTTTCGGTCTCGCTGGTGCCCGGGCGCTGACCAGCAGCTTGCCCCTTTACTGAACTTGGCACCTTTTGCAGTGCAGTGATTTGCGGGTGACGCGAGAATGAACCGCACGCTCCTGCATGTTCTCGGAGCCCTGCTCCTCTCATCCTGCGTCCTTGCATCTGACTTCCCGTTTGCTGACCTGAGTATGGACCAGGCTGGAGCTAAGACAGAAGCTGATCCCAGACTGTTCTTCGTCTTTAGCAATCTCACTACGGGCTCATTTGTCACCTTCAACACCACCCTGCTCCTCTTCTCCGCCGGCATCCTGCTCTGGGGCATCGCCGGTGCCATTGCCCTTTATTACCTCCTGACTGCCCCTGCCGACTCCGGCTCTGGTTACTCAGGCTACGACTCAGGCTCAGGCTCAGGCTACTCAGGCCGATCCAACCGCGGGTGCGTACCAACCTTACCACGACCTCGCCTTTCCCCTGTGCACGCTTCTGGCCGCCCTCTGCACCACCGCCGCTCACCAATCACAATTAAATATATCTCCCCGAATGAGGGATTTTTTTTCTATTCAAATTTTCTGAGACAAACCTATGGCGGTGGTGCACTGGTAACCATATTGATTATTATAACAGGTAAGTAACTTGTACATATCGTACAGTAATGTGTCTTTAAGCATTAATTTATTAATTTTTTTTTACAAGTATGCATGAAAAGAGGTTAAGAATACATTTAATATATGGTTCAAACAACACTGCCAAGTCTGTAAGTCACACATCCTACGACTGACCTAAATGGTCCGTATTCTGTGAAACCTAGCAAGGCAACCATGTCGTCCTCACCACCTCCAGGAAAACGTGATGGACCTAAGGTTTCTTCTTCCCTATAACCTTTCTACAAGCCTCATGTTTCTAGACAGGCAAACACTGGCCTTCAGTGCACTAGGCGAGCTTGTTCATTACCTGCATCAATATCTTGGCTGCGGTGATAAAGAACCTGATCAGCAGCTTCTCCCTAATGAGCACACTGTAGGAAGAGTGGTTACCTGTCTTACTATGAGCCGTAGGAATACAACTGTAGTAGCATGTACCAAGTAGGATTAGTCAATGTTAAATAGTAAACACCTTTGTGTAAATACATTTATTCATTATATATACTGTACATAGACACAATAAAACTTGTTATTAAAAGTTAATTAAAAAAAAAGAAATACGACATTTGGAGAAAACACACACTACACACTCACGTCTTTTTTTTTTCATGCTGAGAATACACCTCAGATATAGTGATACAAATAAACTTTGTTTACGTGACTCGCCTTAGCAAGATGAGTAACGCCTCTGATATTAGTGTAGACTTGTCCTGATATTGTGTCCTGTGGATGTGACTCCATGAAGGTACACTGTGTGAGGCAGGAGGTGCTGCTCGACCCGTTACGATATTTCTTATTATACTCTTACTCTTAATGCATGCAATATTTTCATTCCTTTGAATAGTATCGTTGTATGATAGATCCTCTCCTCCCGTGAATAATAAATAGTTCAATATTCACTGTATCGAATATTTCACAACTTCACATTATCATACGCACAGAAAATAAAACAGCTCTGTTTTATCTATTATCAGTAATCACTGTTTTGTTATCACTTGGAAATTACTAGCAAGCCATAGCCATGATTAATGTCAGCTTGGTGCACTCTAGCTGTCGATTGCACTGCTGGGGGATCCATCACGACGTTTTCCTCAATGAAACTTGACACTCATGTCTTCCTCCGTCTGCGTCAGTGGCCCAAATGAATCACAGACGCTAGATCGGATCTTATAAAGAAGGCTTAATTGGGACACTGGCTACCACATCCCGCCTATGCTAATTTGAAGGGGAGCTTCCGCGCTTTCTTCTAATGCCATATTATAATTCTTGCTTAAATATCATTTAGTGTCAATAGCATTTACATGCGATAAAATGATGAATAAGAATCTCGCTGTATAGCAAATGAATTCTCAATACTCACTGTTCAAGTAATAATTAAGCAGAAAATTTATTGCAGTTGTAATGTGTGGCACTGATGGCATTCGTGTGGATGTGACTTGAATATTTCAATTTAATGTGAAGGGTTTCCCTCTACTTACCCCATCAGTGTTAAGATCAAATTCAATACTGAATAAGATTCACTTATAAGCCGCTCATCATCTTCCTGGGATAAATAAGAAGATAAAAGGGTCTTGATGTGAGGTGGCAGCCCCTGCAGCCAACGCTGGTTGGCTGGTTGGCCGGCGGGGTCCACACCTCCAGGCGGGGACCTGTCGAGTCATGGACTGCTGGCGGGTGTTTGCCCAACGGTTCCTCGGTACCGTCAATAGGAATCACTGGAGTGTCTCGACCAGACTGAACCTTGTGGCTTCTGGGGACTAGGGCGTTGGTAAATACCTCCTTGGGGACTTTCTACCTGACAGGTGTAGTGGACTTACTCCCCCACTCAGGTGTATGATGAGGGGGAGGGGATGCTTACGCCCCACCTCCCCCTAGCCCTCAGGACTGACTCCTACACCTTTTGCTGTTGACCAAGTGAGGTTGAAGTTTTTTTTTTCACCTTACGATTTCTTCTTATCTGGCGCAGTAGGTCTTCCCCCCTCTCACAGCCCCGCCCCCTCTGACGTCACTCATCACCGTCGTATATAAAGCCGACTTCGCAGATTGATGGCACACCACATCTCGGGCTTTAAGTCCTCCCAGAGTTCATCCTGCAGCCTCAGTGACCCTCAGTGATAATAATCAGCTTTAAAACAGTGAATAATTGCGGCTTAAAACCCAAAGTTTCAAAGCAAAGTCTCAAGTTGCTCACTATGGCGTCCAAGCTTGTGTCTTGCTGCGTGCTGGTTGCGTCTGTGGTCACCAAAGCTGCAGCCGCTTTAGATATAGATTACAACGATGGCAGTCTTTACGATGACGAGGGTCGCCTCTTAGTGATCCCCATCGGTGCCACAGGCACTGGCCTATCAGGACTTAACTTCAACATCACCAGCCTGGCCGCGCTGTTCTCTGTTTTAGCCTCTGCGCTGGTCACCCTCTTGGGCCTAGCAGCTCTTGGTTTCCTCTTATATTCTCTCTTTGCCGGCGGCTATGGTTTTGGCTCTGGCTCAGGCTCTGGCTATGGAGGAGGCAGTGGAGGAGGAGGATACTCCTCATATTCCTCATACAGACGGTAAGGTGTACAGTGTACAGTTCTAAAACATTTATAACAACAATCACATTGTCTGCATGCTTGTAGTTTTAGCTGATGGGCTGTTTCATAATATATGCAACCATTTATATAATTTATATATATACATATAAAATTACCATAATAGTTATTAACTACAATTTTTCCCTTGACAAACATCATTAACGTAATTTTGCACAAGAGTGTTTTCAGACTTTAAGTAATGTAACTAATCAGGTAAACTCACTTCATCAAAATGTTCCTCGTCTGATAATTAATCAGCACCGCTGTCCTCTCTTTTCTCTTACTTTTCTGTCGCCCAAAACAGGTCTTTCGACCCCTACGCCATTGACTGGGAGAAATTCTCCATCCTGGATTGGATCGCTATCGGAGAAGAGGCCTGGAGAAAGTTCGACCCCTCAGATCTTGAGTGCCAGAAGCGTCTGATCTGCGAAGTGCACCAGAATACTTCCCGCTTCGGCAACCCCGCCGCCCGCATCGTCGACCTCTTCAGGTACGTGTTCATATCTTTCGTGGCTATTACGTTAAATATAAGAGATTCTTTGCGCTTAAAAAACAATTTACTAAGTATCTCACAAGCTGAAAAGGAACTTACTTTTGTATTATGAGATATTAATTGCAGTTCTTCAAAACAGTAATATCACACATGCAAAAATTCACGATTAAAGTTACTATCAAGAATATGACGAAAATATTTGGAAAGCTATTACAAAGTATCATACTTGCCTCGTAGCTGCACGTCTATAAATCAAAAAGAAACTCACTTCACACTGCGGAGCTGAACAAGACTAGCTATACACTTGTTGAGATCCACATGTCTCCATAAATCTCATACCTAAACACTTGCCTAACCCAACGCCCTCTACATCTGCCTTCCCATCAGCTACCACACCTACCTTACCCATCACCCAGCACACCTGCCATGCTTAACGCTCAATAGACCTGCATAAATCATCATCCACCACATCTACCTTCCCTGTCACCTGCCTTGCCGCCCCTTACCCACTTACCTCGCTTTTGTTTGCCTAACGCCTTCCCGATGCTCTCCCTCCACAGCTACCTGCAGTACGCCGAGGTCCTGTCACTTCCAGACGAGTTTAAAGCATTGATCGAAGAGTACAACGATGCGGCTGATCGAGGACGCAGTCTTCAGAAAGATTGTGGCGAAGTGTACACGACATGCGACTTCTCGGTGAAGAAAATAATGGACAAATACTCTCATAACGAGGTTTAGGTCTCGTTTCTTATGAGTGTGGCTCAAATGGCCTCGAGGAACTGGTCAACCGACACAGGTTGTCCTCTCACCCTCGAGGTCAACTTCCCAGGAAGAGATCTAATATCATCTTTCCAGTGATTTAAGTCTCGACCTAGACCATAAGCTTGTCGATTAGATTCCGTCTAGTTTGTTGTTTTTTAATTTGTATTTAACATATCTGTTGTTGATTTGTATTTAAGATAATTTATTGACTGTGATGACTGCCGTAACAGTGCAACCGAACCACCGCCATAGACTCACGACCTAACCGTCTACGACTCCACGACTCTTATAATTAAACGACGCTCGGTGATGACCATTACGCTGTCCTTTGTAAATATAACTTCTTTGCTATACATAAACGACCTCATTTGAAATACTGACTTTGAATGACTCTTAACACCTCTTTTTATGACTCAAAACTTTTAATTAGCAGACAGTCGCTGACTCACTGACTAACGCTATACGCTGCTGAACCCTGCCTGACTGACCCTCTAGTGACACTATTTTACTGATGTTGACATCAATGTTTCATCTCATTCTTTGTGAGTTTTCCTTTCAGCTGATGACACTGCCGACTGCTAGAAAATATTAATCTGTTTTTAAACTGACACATTGAAACTGCCTGATATGGTTGACATTAACAATGACTGTTTTATCTTTGTGGTTATCTTACTGCCATAGACTGACCCTGACACTGAATACTTTACTATTACTGATTCAGCCTGGAGCTTATTCAAGCTTTTTGGTTTTGTGACATTGACAGTGACTGAATCTGACGCAATCACTGCCTGGCATTGATTTCAAACTAATACCACATATTGACTAACATTAAAGACTGCTTACAACTGACAAAAATACTTTTTGACATTGAAAGATATAACCTACCGTTGAAAATACTTGACCTTATATGACACTGACACAGACAATATCTGACATTAGCTGACATGAACTGATATTGAAAATACCTGATAGTAATTGATATTGAAAATACCTAACATTGCCCAGCATAAACTAACATTGACTGATGCCAATCGTTGCTGAATGATATATAACTTGTTGACTGTTACAGCTTGACCATTGATTGGTCTGGCATGACTAACACTGATGACTGCTACGTGACACTTAACGTTAGTACTTGACACCCGACAATGACATTCGACCGTATATATTTATATTATGTGTAAATACATATATATATAAATAGAGAATGATATTTGACTGTATAATACTGTACAGACATTTACTTTATAGCTATATATTTTTTATAACTTGTGACTTGTGAATATGTAGAGACAAAGGGTAGACTGAAGAACATTTTTTTTGACTGCAAGTGCTCCTAAGGAGATGTTTCAGGGAACATTAGACTCGACGTCCAGCGCCTCTCAGGACCAAGACAAAAGAGACGAATGATAATAGTGTTTAGTATAAGAAGGTCGTCAATAATCACGTGCTCTGCTTGTCTTACCCGGGGTGTCACATCTCCCCCCACTCCTCCCAGTAATGTTTAACTCCCCACTAGATACAAAAACTTATGACTCTAAATTTTTAGATATTTCACATCCCAAATTGTTCCGTTTGTGTTTTTTATTCGTTTAATATTAAATTTATTTATATTTTGGCACATGTACTGTATATATATTTTATGCATCTTGTTATTAGTTCTTTTTAATGTGGTTTCTGAAGGCTAATTTTAATAAATTATTTACACCTGATTTTGTTTTATAATTTAAACCCAAACAAACTCAATAGTTTGTCTTGGTAAAAAATAAAGTTATTTCAGCAATGGAAAGTTTTCTCTATCCAAAAATCTCAGATGACTAAAACACACTAACACAGAGACGAGGGAGTCCTGTTTTATTTATGTACTAACCAAATGAACTTTGTTCAATATAGAATATAAAAAACGATTCTAAACACATATAAAATATTTATATATATATATATATATATATATGTAAGAGAGAATTAGTGGAATAAAAATGCAAATTACAATACACACAATTTCAGAAATAAATGTAATAAACTATGGAAATATTATCGTCTCTAAATTAAAAACATAATCATAAGGAAATACTTAATTAACAGAAAAATAAGCAATATGGAAATTTCTTTATATTTTTCGGACCTGCTCTGTCCCCATACTTGACAAAAGTCTGATAACTACACATGATATCAGTCTAATATTGAGATATTTCTACAGCCTGATATTGACAGGTGGCAACAGCCTGATTATCACAGATAGTATCAGTCTGCTTCCAGCACCTTGGTTCAGTCGATGCAGTTAGCACCAGGCTGTTCCCGTCGTCATGACCCTTCGAGCGTCACCTCCTATGGGTTGCGGACCACTGGCCTCGTTCTCCCCACCACCACGCACCATCATCTACACCGTTAGCTCCCACGTCAGGAAATGAGGTTGGGAAATGAGTGAGCAAAGCTCTGGTATGTGCGGCACCGAAAATCACGTGAGAAAAATCTTTTATTTAAGGCGTTTAAAATATATTTTAATAAGTATGTGTGTGCCGTTTATAGATTACCTGTCATATTCATGTGAAAAGGAGCGTAGGGAATGTTATTACGAAATTGAAGTGTGTTATTATATAAGTGTTGAGTAATGGGAAGGTTTAGTGTTACTGGATGACTATTTCACTTTCTATTAGCTCAAGAGAAACCAACGAGGAGAAATTTAACTCTCTACAATCAAACTCCAGTTCGTTGATATTTCTCAGAAAGTTAAGTTTCTAAAGGGGTCTTTCACCTATAGAAAGTTCCATATCATCCAGTTACATCTTTTTTTTTTCGGACCAAGACTTCACTATCTGCAACTTTCGGATATATTTCTTTAGTTTTCACCTGGAAGCGCTGGAAACAAAACAAAAAGCGCAAACGAACTAATACTTTTGTAACAGTAACTTTAGAATCGCGAAAGAAGTCATTTTTTTAACTTAGAATTGCAAATTAAACAACAAACACAAATTGAACCGTGAGAGGCTGTGCAGGAGCAGGTGGTTGTGATGGAGCGTCCCTGTCAACAAATCCTCAACCACAGTGTGTAGGGGCGGCGGTCCACAGGTCAAACAACGCCCGGGCCCAAAATAAGCATAGTAGGTCATCCATGCTTGGAGAAACTACTTACTGATGGCTTTCAATTCGGCTGTGGGAGAAAGCGCTAAAGAAAACTGCTCCGGGAGTTAGCTCCAGAACCGTCACGGCGCTGTAGGTGCGAAATCAAGGTCTTCATCAGGAAGGTCTTGTACGTCGCGGTTAATGGTCCTTACGGTGGTGTAGGGTGGATACGCTTCTGTTAGGTTTCAGTTGCTTCACCACCTGAAATGTTTGTACCGTACTGTACCTCTGGAGTAAAGCGCACCACTGCAGAATTTCCATACATGTGTTCTGGCTACATAAAATCACTTGCTAGTTGTTACCTTCCATCGATGGCAGATGCAAAGGGAGTCACCCTATTAGGTCTGTGACATCATACTTAGTGTTTGCTCGTAGTGTCTGTAAGCTCAGTTGCTGTGTTAATGCCACACCAGCATATGTTAGTCTCGTCGTCTGCTGAAAGTTACTATATATATGTAGCTATGGATAACTTTTAAATAACATTGCGTTGAGTTGTTTTGCCGATACAATGTTTACGACTTCTAATTATCCCTGACTCGTCAAGGCTTCGGTGATGGAGAGTAACGATACCGAATTCAGGTTACTGTAGTTTGTCAACAGTGTAGAGTCTCCAGCAGCCAGAGTCAGTAACGGCACGAGTAAGGTCGCTGTTTTGTTAGCGTCTTAGCATAGATGTTCTTTGGTTAAGGGACCTAATTAGTAGCTTGTGAATGACAGCATGTCAGCAGCTTGTGAGTAGCAGTTTAAAATTGACAGTTTGTGAGCAGAAATGCTTATGATTGACAACTTTTGAGTGGCAAGCCTTAAAACAACGGCTTGTGAGTGCTCAATTATGTTACCTTTTGAATGGCAGCTTATGAGTAGTAGTTTGAAAGTGAATGTGCTTCTCGATCACGAATTATAAGGTACAAAAAAAGTAGTGATATATTCACATCACTATACGGTAATGACATCTTAGGCTTCCGAAACACTACATTTCGGCTTTAAAATGTGGTCATCATTGCGACTGATAATGTTGCCATATCATTAAAAATAGCTGGACACTAAAAAAAATTCGTTTAATCACAAGAGAATGAGAATAACTGACTGCTGATACACAAACATTGCACTTTCAGCATATATATATATACCGAGAAATTTAATAAGGTGGTTCGCCTGAAGACTTGAGTCAAGGGGTCGTATGGAAGTGACGTGACACAACAAGAACATACTGTAACTCGCGTCTCACACAGAGAAACTGTCGACTTTCTCTCATCCGTGTTTGCGGTTCCCTGGCTTTGTGAAAGCATTTTTTTTTATCAGCTAAGTAATCAAACTGACTCTTTAAGACTGGTATTGTTTTGTTAAGCTCCTTGTCTAAGGATTAGGTACGGTTGTAAGCCCACTGGAGAGTTATGTAAGTCCTCCTTTGTACTGATGTCGTGAAGTCTATGCACACGTACAGATATACATACTGAACACATAGAATAATATATAACTAAGATTTCTTTTTTTCATTTACACAGTTACATAAAGTAGAAATTCACATTACCTCCAGTTATACAGTTGACCGTGCATGAGGGACAACTAAAGTTTAACCAGCATATCACTTGGTACAACAAATGTAGATAAGATTCATTTTGTTTTTATTGTGTGTTTGAATTTTCTCAGACAACTGTTTGGGTAGATTTATCTGATTGCGACCAAGCTCAGCAGACACAGTTTGGACACGTAGCAGTAGTTTCTTTAAGGATAATCAACCTTGAATCTCCTTCCTTCTTGATCGTTTGTCACGTGATATGGGGGAGGAATTTCCACCTTGGGATTATATACTTTACGCAGACTACCGCGAACACCTTGACTACTGGTGCCTGAAACCGAGTACCAGAGTATTTTCCACCAAGAAGAACAGTCGAAAATGGCTATTCACGTGTTTATTGGTGATAGCCTGTGATATATGTTATGGTAAACTGAAAAAATGGAATAATTTACAAAAAAAGCTACAACCTCAAAAATATTGAAAATTTTCCAATATTGGATAAAAAAGCTTTATTGATGAGAAAAGCTAATGAGCAAAATTTATATCCATATATATTGCTCTATTCATATTGTGTGTGTGTGTGTGTGTGTGTGTGTGTGTGTGTGTGTGTGTGTGTGTGTGTGTATGTGTGTGTATGTGTTATTTCATGTGTGTCTTCTGCAGTTATGGTTATTAATAAAATTTTCACTTTGTATGGATCCTTACTCACACTTTTCACAGCAAAGTTCAAGC